AGTCAGTAATATATTATATACTTAAGTACTTACCTATATTCCGACCAAATCAAATCAATAAAATATTAAAAAAAAAAATGTTAAGCAAATGTAATCACTACATATTATAAAACAAAGTCGCTATCCGCCGTCTGTCTGTCCCTATGTATGCTTAGATCTTTAAAACTACGCAACGGATTTTAATGTGGTTTTCTTTAAAAGATAGAATGATTCTTAAGGAAGGTTTATATGTATAATACATGCATATTGCCCCCGTGCGAAGCCAGTGTTATATAATAAGCTAGTGACGCCCCAAAAATTTGCCTGAAAAAGGCCGCTAAGCTGTGCCTATTATTTCATTTAAGACCTGTATGTATTACCTTAACTTGCAAATAAAGACTGAGTTTATTTAGATGTCTCAAATTCAAGTATTGAATAAAAATGACTTAGATATCACAGTCGTTTAACAAAATCCCACAAAGTCAAATTCAAAATCGTTTGTTTCAATTAGACCTGGAAGGCAGTTTGAACGCAATATATTAACAAAATATGTAACTATACTACCTATATTATGTAACAAATTATTGGTATCAGATTATAGGAATCAAATGTTATGCGGCAATTGGTATACAGTTAAATTGTGAAATGATAATTATACAATAATTAATAGTATTTGCACAATGAATCATTAAATGAAAACCTTTTGGCTACCTCGTTGACCGAGTGGTCGCAAGTGCGACTACCGGGCAAAAGGTCTCGGGCTCGATACATGGGGCGGACAAAGTATTACTGTAGTAGCACGGAGTCTGGAAATGTGCTCGGTATGACAATAGGATGCCGATTCGGAGTCGCAGAGAACCTAACGGGTTACCGGGGCTCCGGCTCGACGTGCAGGGGAAGAAACGGGGTGGTTTTTAGTCAGTAAGAGTCTGACACTCCCTCTCACCTCACCCAGGCGGAAGAAGTAATTCGATGATTTTCCTCCCTTAAAAAAAATATGGCAATATACCACCCCCTATTACATGGGACTCATAACATAATTAGCAAAAAGTGGGTGTTACATTGTACAGTAGCATTAAATGCCGTATTGTGCACCTCTGCCTACTCCTTCGGGGATAAAAGGCGTAATGTTATATTAATGAACCTTTTGTTCAATTCAAGTCTCCAAATTGAATTAATTACAAACACGTAATATCTATTTAAACAATATTCTCTACACAAAATATGTCAAAAAAAACAAAATTAATAGCTAAGTACATAAAACTCATAAATAATACTTCAAAATCGATAACTCTTTACTCAAAAAGAAAGATGTTGTTTTCAATTTTTATATAACGAACGAACTCGATAGCTTTTTAAGAGTTTACTATGAAAAATGGTCCAACGACATCGTAAAATAAAATACCTATTAGCTTTTATATATTTTTTCTTTCTTTTTATATATATTTTCCAGTAGACAAGTATTCTCATCTTATACTATGTAGGTAGCATTCTAATGCCATATATGTATATGTATTGTATTTCATTTATTGTTTAAATTGATTGACATAAAGTTAAACTCCTATATCTTCTTCGACGCAATACGATTTCTACACTAAAATCGGTCCAAGTTTAATGGAAAATCATGCATCAGTATCGTAAAGGATACAATACAGATATGTTTCTCGAAAATTGTATTTAAAAATCACGTCTCAATAAAGTATACCCGCATATTTGAAATGTATCATAAACAAAAGAATTTTACCCACCAAATTAGAACACATAACAGAACAGACGTGACATAGATCGACGAATAAAATATAATGTGGGTATGTTGCTAATTACAAAAAATATTTAAACCATTAACAAACACACAAAACAAAAATTCAAACGAATTTTATAGACAAAACACACGAAAAACGGCACAAAAGGACCAAAATCGCGTACAAAAAGACCGGATAATTTGACATTTGAATTAAAAAATTCTATAAATAATTGTAATAATTTCTTTGACTCACCCGTTGCGAGGGAGATGGCAATTGTTACAGCAAATAATACGTTGTATTTAACCATTGTGTTGACACTGGCACGGCTCATAGGACCATTTTATACGCGTCCGTCCTTCGCGGCGGCTCGACGCGATCTGCGGGTCGTCCCTTGATCCCCACCCTGCTACGGCCCTGGGAGACGCGACATACGGGTAGAATAGTGCAAAAGCGAGCTTGCGAATTCTAGAAATACCCACTTAAGGGTAACATTATTGTAAAAAGTAGTCAAGAAGCGTCTCACTTGAACTTTTCAATAGGAATTTAAAAATATTGAATATAGTACTCATTTTTATCTTCTTTTTCCGTTTTCTGAAAACGCGTACGAAATCTAAAACAATCTCTGGTGTATCGTAATAGACACACAAGATTTAAAGGTGTAAGTGAGTCGCGGAGAACCTAACAGGTTACCGGAGCTCCGGCTCGACGTGCAGGAGAAGGAACGGGGTGGTTTTTAGTCAGTAAGAGTCTGACACTCCCTCCCACCTCACCCAGGCGGGAGCAGCCATTCGATGATTTTCCCCCTCTTAAGAAAAGGTGTAAGTGAACATTAGATGTGAGAAAATGATGTTACATATAACACCATCTTTTCAAATCGGACACATAACATGAAAACATATTATAAGTAAGAATCGTAGCATTTGGTAGTTATGTTATGTTCAGCAGCTTTTGTTATGAGGAGGTTGGCCACCGGCTAGACGGATCGGTGGCGCTCATGGACACTCATAGTACCTAGGGAGTTGTTTCTACAACTCCCTAGGTACTATGGGTAATGTTGGTACTATGGGTAATGGGTAATGTTTCTACATTGCTAACTTTTCGGGGATTGACGATTTGAATTTGGTTATTGGGAATGGAACAGATTCATCATTCAGATCAGTGGACATCTTTAACTGATATTATTATGATTACGTATAATATAAAATACCAACTATTTCCACGTCTATTGATACCAGCATGATGTTTTAACGCGTTCAAACAAACAAATTCTTCATTATAATAGTAAGTGTAAGACATAAGATAACGTTCCTGTTTGTTTGTTGCGACTTCCGATACTAGGTTACAGTGAAAGTATAACAATTCCGACTTGCTTTCTACACTGTACCGAGCGGTGTGTATCACGCACATACAGACACGTGGTAAGCAGAGGTTCTAACTACATTAAAACGTATTAACTTTAATTAACCACTTACTACAAGTACTATTGAACGTCTAACTTACTTGAGAAGTTTCTGCTTTTGTGGTAAGTTACGGTTGCCAAGGTTGATGGGTGGATGGGAGGTTTTCAAATCTGTTACATATGTGTCCTATTTCTTTCTTTCAGAGTGGGGTTTCCCAATTTTTCATCAAGTTTTTTTAATAGTATTGTGATTATTATTGCCGAAACAAGGGTTACTACTACAACTACTTTGTCTACTCCTTTGAAAGATAATACAACATTTACAACGTATACAGTCTACGGCTAGACAATGAGCCACCTCTGCATAAAAAGGGTTTGCCATTTCTGTCCTTGGCAAATTGATTGTAGATTAGTTTAAAAGGTCCAGACTCCTTTTGGCAGTCCCATGCAGTCAAATCAAAATCAAGAAAAGAATATAATTTCATAGGAAATTATTTTAAATTCGTACCACCACCTAAGGAGTTCAATTATTTGCCAGAGACTGTATTTCCTGAAAGAAATAACCTGGGTGTCTTCAAGGCCCGAGTGAATAGGTTGCTTATGGGACGACGTGCTCCATCGTAGGCCGCTTCATCGATTACCACCAGGCGAGATAATGGTCAAACGTCGGCCCATGAAATATAAAAAAAGAAAACAACCCTTACCTAACCATTTAAGGAAAAACACACGACACTTTAGTTAATTATATTATAATGTAGGTATAAACATTCATACAATATTTTCCTTGATGTTTTTCCTTCAATTTACTTCGGAAAAGTTTTGCAGAGCTACAAAATTCCGGCTTCCGTACAAAATTATATATAAAACAAACTCTCGGAGAAGATTTCCTGTCCGTTGGTATTCGGTTATAAAGCTGTGGACTCACTGGTGCTATGTAACGCGTTACAAGACACGCATGTAATATGTTGCAAGTATGTATAACTATTTAACATGTTTGTAGTAATACTAATACAAATGGCTTTGTGACAGTGTGCAACGACTTGAAGTCATTTCAGGTGTATTAATGGAGTCATTAGGAGCAATAAGAGCTCTCTTTATGGATTAGGATTACAGAAGGTGGACAGTAATTACTCTATTTACAAAAGTGCTTGAGTGCTCGAGAGAAGGCTAAGAAAATAAAAGAATCACTGGAATGAAGTCACTTTAATACCGACGAAAAATGGAACTTCAATAAGTCAAGTTTCAGTAAGCTTAAGCTGAGATTACTTAGCTCTCATGTTACATAGCATATTGCATCAGATTTCCCCTCAGTGTGTCCATAGGTTTATCGACGAAAATGGTAAAATTAATGCGAAGTATTCTGTTTGCATTTATGCTTTTTACGAAATTGTATTATGGACTTCAATCTGTTTTACTTTTACGAAATGGCCAAGATTTAAGCCATGTCATTTTGTTGTACTGGCTTTTTATATTTAAGGAAGAAAAATATTAAAAAATGTATTATAATAGAAAATAAACATGATGTTTTATGAAGAGTAGGTAGTGGTACTCTCACATTTCAATTTCAGTTATTGGTACCTGAAATAGAAGATATTTTTCAGTGCAATGCATTTCTTTTTCTTTTTTAGTAAACTCGTTTGCTTAGTAAAACTAAAACTAACAAATGGAAAATAGTACAACTGGCAATTCTAGGCTTGGGGGGGGATTATCCAATGACTTCTTTCGCTCGGGTGACGCGAGAGGGAGTGACAGACTGTCACTTTCTAAAAACCACCCCGTTCCTACACCTGCACTTCGAGCCGGAGCCCTGGGAACCCCGAAGTCCTCCGCGGCTACGTTTCGGCATCAGCCCTATTAGGCCCCATCTGTGGTGGTCTGTTAGCTCCTTGAATGCACGCGAAATGGGACGTGCCGCACGCTCAGGTCTGGTTCTGATCGGACGGCGAGTTATCCGGGCTCGCCGTCTGGACCCCCGTGCTTAACCCCTTGAAACATATGTTGAAACAACTGCTGAAAAGTCGATATTTCTTTGTTTTCTTATTTTTTTATAGGGTTTATGTGCGAATTTTTAACAATGTTAAATTATGTACTTACACCTCCGACTATATACATATATCTACCTACTTAAACTGTCAAACACCAAGCGGTCACAGGTGACCGCAACCTATTGTTCTATAATTGTGTCTATAATGACGGTACTTGACGAGTTAATACGGTAGTTGACGGGTAGTCAAATTCAATACTTTTATTGAAATGTCAAAAACGATACTTTTCTATGATTTTTGTAATGGTTCGCTACTTATGACGTCATCATATTTCTGCGTCAAACAGCATACTTATTTCCTTAAAATTAGCGAGAAAAATATTTATTGCATTGAAAAGTTAAAAAAAAATATTTCGAGCCTAGGAAACTAGCCTTCTCAGTAGTAGCACGGAGTCTGGAATTGTGCCCGGTATATGCCAATAGGCTCACCCCCTATTACATGGAACTCGTAACATAAATAGTGAAAAGTGGGTGTTACATTGTACAGTGGTATAATGTGCACCTCTGCCTACCCCTTAGGGGATGAAAGGCGTGATGTTATGCTATGTTATGTTATGTTATGAAACTAGCCAATTATGAATGTAGTTGATAATAAACTGTAAAACATCTTCATGAATAATGACAGTTTCAGAGAGACGACTTTGAAGAATTTCCCTAAAATAATACGCGACAATATTAATGGTGGTCGTTTTACTCACTTTTATTGTTTATTATGACTGCCTCGTTGGCTGAGAGGTCGCAAGTGCGACTACCGGGCAAGGGGTCTCAGGTTCGATTCCCGGGTCGGGCAAAACGTTACTGGGTTTTAAAAAAAAAAAACTCAGTAGTAGCACGGAGTCTGGAATTGTGCCCGGTATATGGAAATAGGCTCACCTCCTATTACATGGGACTCATAACATAAATAGTGAAAAATGGGTGTTACATTCTACAGCTGCATTATGTGCTGTAATGTACACCTCTGCCTACCCCTTCCGGGATAAAAGACGTGATGTTACGTTATGTTATTGTTTATTAGCTTGCTCTGTTCGTCAAGTTATAGTCAGGAAGACCGCCGTACAAGAGATCTGGATTTCGATTCTCGGTTCAGGTAACCTACCCGATAGCCCATATGTAACATGTATATTGTTCTGTTACATATATTATGTCGTGGTGGCCCACAGGTTTAAGTCGCCCGCTTCTCATGCACTAGGGTACGAAATCTACCAACAGTAAGTACCAATGTGACTTTTTCCGAGTTATATGTACCTACTTTCTAAGATTATTTAGACACCACTGACAAACGGTGAAGGAAAACATCGTGAGAAAACCTGGACTTATAATTTCTCATTATAAGTTTATAATCGTCAACCAGCATTGGGCAAGCGTGGTGATTAATGATCAAATCTTCTCCGTGTGAGAAGAAGCTTTACTCAGCAGTGGGCATTTATGGGCTGTTGGTGATGACGAAGAAGCAATACGCACAAATCCTTGACTTAAATCTGTTTTATCTAAGTAATGGTTTCTTATATTACAAAATTAAAAAGTGCCTAATATTTTTTTATTATATTTAACTGACGGACCAATTATATTTTTCACTTTCATACACTGTCATCTACCCACTGCATACAGTGGATAGATGACAGTGTGACATTGTTACAAGTTATGTCATAACATAACATACTTATTATAATGGTTGTGAACATTAAACATTGAACATAACTAGTAGAATGCATTTGTGTCAGTTTGGAGTTGTCTCACTCAAAGATCTTATTGGCGGTGGCACGTGCATTAGATCGCTCGATTCCCTACAAAATGGTTAAGTTGGGCGGTGCTGGGGTACGTGTCATGTTCGTGAACGGGTGCCATCAATTGGTGGTCAGCTCCAGACTGTATTATTTTATGGTCCTCAAGGTTATTTTCTTTTTCATTCTCTTTGACTGCA